TTTCTCTCCAGAAGGGCTCATCTCCCATGCTGCCTTCCCAACCTGCTCCTGGCAGGTTTCATCTCAGCCAGGCCAAGGTGCTCACACTGGGAGCTTCCAGTCCTTCCTTCAGCAGCACTTGGAACCCACCAAACCCTCTGGTGTGCTCCCGGCAAACACACATTCACCCTCAGGCGAAAGCTGATATGGCCACGTATTCCAGGGGGAATCCCAGCAGCGCTGGAATTAGCTCGGCAGAGACCGGCTTTTCCGAGCATGCCCTTGGCACGACGCATAAGGTCGTGAGATATTTTACATCTCCGGTCGCCCCCATGACCGCAGGCACTCTGGGAAGGGGAGGCATTTCCATGCTGTCTCCTGCCAGTGCAGATGGATGTTGGCAAACTCTTTCGGAGCTGAAACCTGGGGGTGGATCGGCACCAATTATCCCAGCCCAGGCTCAGCTCCACATTGCTCAGTGCAACAATTGCCCCGAAATAAATTCCCAAATGGTTCGATGAGGAGTGCCCACCACCCACTCAGCTGCATCACCTCCACTTTCTGCCCATTCCAGGTAGAGGCTCATCTACACACTAAAAAACCCCTTTTAACCTGAAGCTCTATTTTCATTGCCGTCGCTGTTGCCTCTGGTTCAGCTTACACAGCCTACACCTCTTCCATGTGCTCCCATTTGATCCCTGCAGAGCAGGAGAAAGACAAACTGGAAGATCCAAGCCCTCCCCTGCACACTCATGGATCACACAGGATTTTGCTGGTTTTTAGGAAACACTGGCTGATGTTTTGCTGCTGTAAATCACTGTGAATCTGCCCACCTCGACCTGGTTTATAGCAAGAAAACCAAGGAGGAAAAGGCACAGATGAGACAAGGGATCGCCATCCCACGGGTGGGAGGCTGTGCTCCATGGCAGCATGGGTGCCCAGCCTGGAATGCATCCCAATCCAAAGCCAATGCCCGTAAATAAGAGTAATAAATCAAGGATTTCTTCAGGAGCAACTAATTATCCAAATCAACATGGGCTTCGACACAGGATGGTCTTTGTCCACCAAACCCTGTCCAGAGCTAAAGCAAACAGCCAGCAGGCTGTGAGTTGGAGCTCTGCTCCTGCCCTTCCTTCATGGTGTAAATGTCCCCATTGAGGTGCTGCCCTGGCTTGGACCTGACCACATTCCCATCACACCCGTTCCCATCCCGCGACCGCTTTTCCATCATTGATCTGAGGTTGTGCAACAGCTCAGGCCCTGCCACAAGCTCACATTTGACAGCAAAATGTTCCCAGCAAATACTGGCATCATTTCAGCACATGGCCCTGCAAGTGTCCCCGAGCAGTTAATGCTCCAGGGAAAGGTTGGGATGTGCATAACTCATTGAGGGCTTGAAAATAATGGCCTTCTCCATCTTGCAGAGAGTTTTTAAATGAGCCAGGATTCTTACCTTAATTTCCCCAGCTCAGCAATGTAATTAAAAAGGGATTTACTATTGAGACACTTCCAGTGCTTTCACAGTATCACCCGTCTCTGCTCTTCCAAGCTGTGACGGGGAAAGAAAGACTGCAAATATGGGTATGGCATCCAGGAGGGAAATCCAAGTGGGACTCTGCAGTCCAGAATATCCCAGTGACCAGCAAAGCTCTCCCTAGTGAATGTGGGTCTGGGAGTGGTGCTGTATGTATGAGGCGGCGATGCAGGTGACAGTCCCTGGGCACTCAGATAGCAGACATGCCCTGCAAAAGCACTAGAAAAAGTCCTTTTCCTTGACAGATGGAATCATGGAGGAGAGGACACCCCCTTTTATACATCAGGGAGTCAGTTGTGTTGTGCTTGTGCCAGCAGACATCTGGGGGCTCACCCTGTGGCCAGACCTCACGACCAGCACAGCCACACTCACTCTCCCCTCACTCCTGGCTCTTTCATCACTCCAGAAAAAGCCTTCCTGACCTCCACAGCTAAAATCAGTCTTTCCCTTGCTCCTGGCTCTCCTGATGTCGCCACTCTGCACTGCCTTTTGTATCTGTTCCATAAATGAGTACGTGAGATGAGCACTGCTGAGCCATGGTTGAAGCTTTAGCTCCTAAGCAAGGCCTTCCAGAGGGGGTAAAGGTCCTCTCACTCCTTTTCTCCCAGTCACAGCCTGTAAATCCTCATCCTGTAAATCCTCATCCGCACAGTGAAAATAAACTCCAGTAGTTCATTTTTTTGGCTCTTTTCCAAAGCTTTTAGGCAACTGATTTTGTGCTGATGAAGCAGTGGAGGAGGGCTTAAGTGAAACAATATTGTGGTGGCTGCACGGTTTGCTCCTGGTTCGGAGCTCAGAGCGAGCCCCAGGGACTCGCCACATCTCCAAGTTCTCCTACAAACCATGGAAATCGCCAGTCCGGCTCCTGGGACAGCAAAACAGGATTTCAAAAACAACATTAGCCACCCCTGGAGCATGGCTGGAGAAGTGCCGGGAGCCAAGTGCTTAATGAAATCCCAGCTCCCAGCTCTCCCTCCTAAACCGCGCAAACTTCCCCAAAATGTTTGGGATGGAACAAAGTCATCAATCAGTTATTTTAACTCCCAGCTCCGTAAACAGAAGCAAGCCCAGAAACATGCAGCAGGGGAAAATAACTGTCAGCTCCCTTCGGTGGAGCAGAGAGGGCACAGGGAGGGAGGATGAGGGCAGCTGGCCGGGAACTGAGCATAGCCTTGGGTCCCAAAGCACATTTTGTGGGCCCTACAGAGCATTTTACAGACCCCACAGCCTGTAAATTCAATGTGCAGCCCTGAGAGCAGCCCCACCATCCCTACCACCCTCCTGGCACAGCTGGCTTTTGATGATGGTCGCTCAGGCGATGCTCTATTGGAAAGGGTGAGAGGCACGAAGAGCCAGGATGAGCATCACTAGCCAGTTTTCCCCTAGATTATTAGATGAACACAATAAAAGTTATGGATACAGCCACAAAGGAGCGTGGGGAGGGAGATGCTGCTGCACCATCTGCTGTCATGCTCCTCTGACACTGCCTCAGCCTCAGCACTGGTCAGGGGGGTAGCATTAAGCGTAGCAGTGTTCACATAAATACATTATAGATTTGTAATTACACATCAGTGATGAAACCATGGAAAAACCCAGGAGATCTGAGGAGGCTCCTCAGGGTCAATCCAGGAGGGGAATGAGTCCAAGAGGCTGTGGCTCTGCTGCTTTCTGATGGGAAGCACCAGCCTTAGGCAGCTGAACTTACTGATGATGGGCAGAAAGATAGGAGCAGTTTCGTCTGGGATACATCCTTCCCACCAGCCATGGGTGCTACAGCCCTGTAGAGTGACCACTGTGGGCATGGGGCAGCACCTGCCTGTCCCCTCCACCCCATGGATCAGGGAATTATTCACCTCCAGGCATGGAGAGCAGCCGAGCACCTCCTGGAGCCACAGTGCTGCCAGTGGTGCTCAGCACTGGGAACACATGTGGATCTTCTCGTGCTGCTCCATCCAATGTCAACCACATGTTAGAGCTGCAGAGAGGGATGGCCAAGCCAAGAGAGATTGTGCAAACAGACTTTTCTAGAGACTTGGGTTTTGCATGAATTCACGTGTCCCAGATCTGCTCCTGAAGACACACACGTGTCTCCAGAGCTTGTCTTGAAGGAGACGCGCTGGAGAGGAGACACCCAGGCTGAGGGAGCTGCAAAATGCCCTGCAGAAATGCCTGCACCTGTTTCCATAACATAACGAATAATATTTCATTCCTTTTGCAGAACAGAACATTTCCTCACCCAGCAGTGATGGAAATTAATGGAAATTAATGGAAATTCATGCCAGGATGTGGGCAAGCAGCTGGTGGGACCAGAGATGCCTTCCCAAGGCACTGATGTTGTGTTAGGGGTGGGTCAGCCATGGTGGGAGGTAGGTGCCATCCAGGAAAGATGAATTCCTTGCTCTCCACCTCAGCACTTTTCCCACATCTTGTCCTCATCACAGCGGGGAAACACAGCAGAGCTCCGTGTTTATCTCAGAGGTCTGAAGCTCCCAGTTCACTGTGTGCTCCTTGCCCACCGCATAAACATTCTGCCATTTTTTGGCACATCTCAGGTGTTTTTTCCTTTTCCCTCGTAAACATAAACAGGAGCGGGTGTAGGTCACCACCGATTATTTTACGTGACATCTTGATCCATGTTCCTCCTGCACCACTCCCTCTGGCAGCGGGGCCGGCAAGGATTACTAGGAGGCAGCTCAGGACACCACTGGCACATCCCACATGCCACTGGCTGCCCCAACACCCATCCCCATTCTTGGGGGATGGCTCCTGACACATAAAGCTTTCACACCACACTCCTGCAGCAACTGGCAGCACAGTCCCACAGTGCCAGGGCTGCGTGCATGGGTGGCAGTCACTTACACCAGGCCACATGCCTTGTCAACACTCAGAAGCCCCAAATCCACAGACCAGCTGCCACAAGTTACATGGGAAAAAACATAGCTGCAGAAAGAGGAAAGACCTGAGGGGTTGAAGCCAGCCTGGGACAAGCAGGCAGCTCTGGTTAGGGGTCATTGCTGGATCTCCCCATGGCTCGAGGGAGATGCAGTAACATTTATTTGCAAGGATGGTCCTGCCTCTGCAGCTCTGTGCTACTGCTGGTGTCCAAACCAATCCCTCTGGCTTTGTCCCACATCCTCACATCCCCACAGCAACCTCATTTGACCCCTGCTAGAGCCAGTGCAGGGGCAGAGGTGAGCAGGCAGCACAGGGAATGGTGCCCAGCTGAGCCGTACCCCAATGCCTATGAAAGGGGGGAACAACAAGGGCAACGCTGGGTGGGCACCGCGTTTGTCCCAGACCATGTAAACCCAAAAAAGCATCCCCAAAACTCATTGCCTGTTTGCTGTATCTCCACCTTGAACTGTCGGCAGCATCTATTTTAGATCCAGACCCCAGGTGAACCCCTGACAGTGACGGTGCTGTACCAGGATGCGGTGTCCACACTGGGACGTGATACCCACTCCGTGCCCTGCCCCGCCACGCCGTGGCATCGCTGCCAGCCCCGGTGGCTGCTGCTTCGCCGCAAGTTTTTGTTTACCATCACCTTATTAAGGGATTATTCAGGCTGCGGTTTCCTCGCGCGTCCGATCTGTTTGTGCTCGCGGTCCGTGGCTCGCTGCCATCCTCTAAGCTACACGCCGGGCTATATAAGCGACCCCGCCGCCTGGGCGGCAGGGAGGCTCGCACACGGCTCGGCACGGCGCAGGAGAGTTTCGGTAAGCTGCAACTTTCTCTTCTTCCCAACCGCCTGCAAATCCCTAAACCCGCAGCTGACAAGCCTTCGCCTCGCCCCCGGATCTCGGCTCGACTGGCGGCTCTGTGGCGAGAGGACGGGACTCTCCTTAATTGGGGTTTTTATGGTTTTTTAGGTAAGAGAAAAAACGCAACCCAACCCTGCTAATTTTTTCCCCTCCGTGGCAGACAGCGGTTATATAATTCTGCTATGTTATTAAAGCGGCGTAATTAACAGTGGCTGTGATTGAAGGCGAGGTGGAAATTAATTAATGGGTAGATGAAAGCATGGAGGCTGAAAAACATTGATGAGGTCTCCTGCTTTCCGCTTCTCCCTTCCCCATCCCAGCTAATGCGTTACGGGGACAGCGGGAGCGGGGATTCGGACTGGGACAGTGCTTTACTCACACAGGGCTTTTGATCTCCCGCGGCTCTGTCCCGCACCGGCTCCCTCAGCTCCCTGCCGTGGGGAGACGCAGGCAATTCCAAACCTTCCCTGCCGCCAAGATCCAGCCGCTTGAACCCCCCCTTTCCCAGCATCGTGTGTCCCGGGGACAGAGGGACGTATCCCATCCCAAACCCAGCGCTGAACAAGTCACAGTCAGCTCCAAAAATAGGCGCCGAGTGGGAAACAGGGTTAATTTTTCCTGGTAATTGTCTGGCTGCGAGTTCACGGCCCCACCGTAAGCCCACAAAACACCTCTCATGTGTTGCTTGTTATTTTTGCTTGATTGGGATTTGCTGAGCCATAATCAAAGTATTTCTTAGTCCCACATTCCCCAGTCTCAGAGGGGATGGTTAGTACCACTTACGAATAACAGAGTGTTCTTACTGCTGGCTGCCCTTTGTCAGGCACATTTTATGGGGAAACTGAGGCACTGAAAGGCTGAGGCAACATTTCCTCTCCCCTGGTTCACTAATTTTGGATGCATAAAATAAAGCACCAGCTGGTCTCACTTGGGATAACACCAGCTCCATGGGTACCTTCAGAAATTAAATACTCAAATTCTTGATGCCACAGGGCGAAGGGAGTCACTGAAAACAAGGTCTAAAGTGGCTGAGCTGGGAAAGAGTGACACAAAGCCTCAGTCCCACATCTCTGCCTGCAGGAAAAGGAAAATATTGAGCTACTTGCTCACACTTGCAGCAAAGACTTGGCTTGTGCACGGGGTTTTCCACTTTCAGAGGTGCTTAGGAGCCGTCCCCTTCCCCACGTTCTGGGATGTACTGGGATAAGATGCTATCCTCGCACTACACTCAGTTTGCAGGCAGAGGGATGGAGACATGGAGATGTCCCTGCTCCTGCAGGGAGCAGAGTGGGGCATCAGGAGGCCTGTGGTGCCGTGTGGGCTGTGAGAGATCCCTGTAGAAGTATTTAAGCTGTTCCAAGGCACATTAAGGAGATGTCATTACAAAGCAGTGCTCTGCAGAATAGATTTGGGCTCAAGATGTGACAGTGAGAAGCAGAGGGGATGCGAGCACAGATGTGGAGCCCCTGCTGCTCCTCCCCGGGGGGGGGGGAAAATGAGGAGCTGCTGGGGTTGGGTGGGTGGGCATGGTTTATAAGCTGCCTCATGGCATGCTTTGAACTGGTTCAGCTTGGGAGAAGCTTCCCAAAAGCAGCAGGACCTGGCTGAGCCTCAACCTGGCTGGACTTGTCTCTGCAGGACTGGGGAAGGCGTGGGACGGCTGCGGAAACTCCAAGAAGCCCCTGGTCATCTCTGGAGACCACAATGGTCACTGTGAAAGGCTGGATCCTCCTCCTTCTCCTCCTGGGAGCCACATCCATTCTAGGTGAAGGTTATACGTTCCTGTTGCAGTCCCCGCACTGCCAGCGCAGGCGCGTCTGTGGCACTGCTGAGCCAGCAGACACAGCCTGACATCCATGCGGGGTCCTGGTCTGGGTCAGAGTGGCATTTGCCCGGCCAAACAACTTCCAGATGAGGACTGGCTCCCATCCAGCCCCCAGAGCATGTCTGTGAGTCAGCCAGCCTCTGGTTGACCAGGGATGAGCTCACCAGCCCACTGGTAATGCCGGGATCATCCCTGCCTGCCATCCCCAAGACCCCACATAGTCCAGTCCTCACCCATGGGAGCTGGGCACAGGGGAGAGCTGGTGCTGGGGCTTTGCTCCCCAGTTTAAATAGGACTGGTCCCAGCAAGCACCACAGGAACCAGCCACAACCACCAGCTCCTTTCAGGCATGCAGGTGGCCAGCAAGCGCAGAAACCAGTCCATGTCCCATCACAACATCCAACCTCATCCACCTCAGGTTTGTTTCTCCCTGTGCAGGGAGAGGCAAGATATATTTTATCACTACAGCTATAGAAAGATGAATTGATCTGAGCTGTTCCAACACAGAAAGTACAAAAAAATTTCCTTCGGTGATAAGGGAAATAGAAAGTTTTTATCATGCCTGAGCTGCAGTGATGCTTCACTCGGCATCTCCTGCACTGCATCCTACAGGACCTCTAACCAGCCACAACCCAAAGGGAAAGCAGTAATACTGAGCATAAGGATGCCCGGTCCTTTGAATCTAATTAATAAGTTTTATCCTTTGTATTCATCTGATTTATTCTTTCATTTATCAACCCTTAGGACAAAGGATTCTGAAACCAGCCCTCACCAGGGTCCAGATAGGACAGAAAACCTTCAGCCCGCTGGTAATGCTCAGCTTGGAGAGTAAGTTAATTCCCACCTTGGGTGGATTTCCCTTGCTGGGACAATTTTCCGAACAATTTACAACCAGCCAATCTTATTTGAGTAGATGAGGACATTTAGGGTTAGAATCATTCTATGATTCTGTGATTTAAGCAATGGAATAAATGTTAATAATCCATGACCTCCTGTAGGGTTTTGGCTATCGCTGACACGCTGTTGGCTCCTCTCCTGGAAAAGGGAAGGTCAACATGTGACCATAGCCCCGACTCCTGTGGGAGGCATGCGGGGCTGGGAGGGTGAGAAGAGCCCAGGGATGGGCCAGCACATGCTCTGACCTGCCTTTCCCCTGCCCAGCCTGTCCCCATGCTCAGGGTAGTTTGTGACACCATTCCTTTAGAAGTAAAGCCTGTGAGGCATTAAAGACCTGCAGAGCCCACTCTGCTCATTAATTCCTAGGAGATGCCTCAACCACTCAATCTTTACTGCCCAGCACTTGCAATTTAAATTCCAGCAGGCACTGAAAGGGCTGGACATGCTGATGCCATATCCCAAGGACTCATGTCCTAGACTTTTGTCTGGCTCCCAGTAGCAATCTTAGCCATAGGGAAGAATCAAAGCACCAAAACCCTGGACTCCCAGAGGTCCCCTTCACTTGCTAAGAGTTATTTTTAGGAAAACTACCAGGAGAATTGTTTTCCCCTCGAAGTGGATGACACAGGGCAGTGGTGCTGAGGCTGGCTCCATGGCTGGAAAACCCTGCTCAAATCACCCCCAGTGTCCTCTGCCCGCAGGTACAAGGAGCAGCTCTCGCCGGGGAGACCCGACCTTCACCTACGTCAGACGCAGTAGGTTCCTGCCGGCGGTGCCATGGGGTATCCCTGTCCCTACCTCCCCACATCCCTGCCAGAGCTCTACGCCTCAGCTTCTCCCTCTTCTTCCACTTTCTGCTTTCTCTGCTGTTGAGGCGCTACGCAGAGCCATATAATGCTTTTCCTCCACTGCACTCCCTTCTTCATATCCTATTATCAACAGCCCTGCAGATTAAAGCAGCTGATCCCAAATGAGCTTAGGATCTTGCTGAGACCCAACTTTAATCTGCTGCACATTAAATCTTTGCTAGGGGAGAGCACAAATGGCCATTTATCCACGGGATGGGACCATGTTTCCAAGCCCACCTCCTCCTGCATCCCTCAAATTACTAAGTAAGGTCGTGGATGTGCTACTCGGGGCGCTGAAATGGAGGTGCTGATGTGCCAGCACATTAAAAACTTGCCCATCTAAGCCAAGCATTCACTCTAAACCAGACATGCTGCTCCCATGGCTGCTCTCATTTAAAGGGTCTTTTATACCCACATGCTTTGTTTTTGGCCATCACTATAGGAACAGTCCAGCCCTGTGCCTGTCTGCCTTTCTAGGAAATAACCCAACCTGCTTTATTACAAATTAGGTGGAAGAGTAGGTACAGGAGATGACACAGCACACATCTCCAAGAAACCCCATTTGTAGAAACTTTAGTCACAAGCTCATCCTTGCAAACATTCCTAGAACATTGTCATTTAAAAACAAGCCCAAACCACAGACTTGGAGTGGATCTCATCCATTCAAAGTAGCTTAAATTAATAACATCTAGTAGCCCCGTTAAAGAAATCCCTTTAAAAACCTAACCCCATATTAAAGTCTCAAATGTCTTTTGCAAACTCTCTCCGTGTTTTACCAGTCAGCTGGTCCCTGATGTGCTCAGGCTGCTCAGTAGCATCTCAGGCTTCTGGTTTGCACACAGTAAAAGTGGTGCTCACAACAGGACACACGCTGCCCCTATGGAAAACATATGTTGAAGTTTGGTTAAAGCCATTCAACATGGTCATACCAAAAATTTTACCCTTTTTTTTTTTTCCCCTATTTAACCACATTTGAAACACAGGCGAGTGTTGCCCTTCAGACAGCATTGAAATGACAATATGTGTTTGATTTCCTTTAAGCCAAAGTTATTCAACACTAAGCATGAGCTGCCTGCACTTTGCTCCCTTCGAGTTTATCTTAATCATCCTGAATTCAGTAGCCTGCGGGGAATTAAGTCAGAAGTCTTCAGACGCCTTCTTGTGCTTTATTTCTCAGCTCCCTGAAATGCTTTGAGTCTGTTTAATCCATGTGGTGCATAATATCCAAATGTATAGTCTGAGCTACATAGAAGCTGCTAAGAAAACAACTGCCCAGTTTTGGGGCAGCTGTGCGTGTAATGTGCGTCTCAGTAACAAACCGCTGATGTTATTCAAGGTCCACTGGTGCAAGATTCAAAAAGGTTTTTGTCTCCATGGTCGAAATGGAGCGAGTGCTCAGCAAAGTGTGGCCAAACCGGGGTGCAGAAGCGTACCAGATCCTGCCTAGCTGAGCGCCTCTGGGGCGTGCACTGTAATGAAGCAACTGAGGAAGGGCGGCTCTGCATTGGACATGTTTGCTCAGGTGCTCCTATAACTTCACTTACGGGCAGGGGAGGATGTCCTGGTCTCACCACCACGAAGGCATTGTGCTCCCTTCGCTGTCATTTTACCATCTTTCTCTCCTTTGCCAGAATTCTGTGATTCCCAAGCAAGTCTGGAGAACAGAGCACAGGGAGTTTATAGCCAAATAGCAAGATAACAGGGGGATCCAGACATGGGGAATCATCAGGGACTCACAAAGATCTTGTCAATATAGAAAAACATCCCATTAATCTCATTATAACAGCAGCTCTCAGGGAAGAGTTAGTTGCAGGCAGATGCCTCCATGCAATCTCCAAGAAGGAGAAGTGTTGGGAATATCAAATTGCCACAGCTCCTGCTGAAGGGGCTTGTAATCAATTATGTTATTCTTATAATCCGCTTTTAACAAATAATTCTGAAAACAGTCGATGTTTTCTGCAGGAAAGTTGTTTCAGGTTTTCTCTGATTTCTTACATTTATTTCCAGCTTTGAAAAAAATTATCAGGTAGTTGCTGTACAGGGATGGCCTGTGATTATAAAAGGAATGACCTGAGCTTTAGAAAGATTATTATTCAGGACTAATCACTATAGGTAATGAATATGTTTCAGAATCACTGGGAGACCAATTGTTAAACCCATTGGGTAATGCTCACTTGGCAATTACCCCACATCCTGCCCAAGCCAGGATACCATTGAATAAGGGGAGACAGCTTTTGGTATAGGCTACAGTCACAACTTTTGGGCATGAATTGGTAAGAGAAACCTAGAAAGTTTAAGGCATTTGGATTTGTAATTTTGCCAGGGTTGAGCTAAGAGCTCACAGTGCTGAGCTGGATTCAAATTTCCCCGGAATTCAGCCCTTTGGGGAAGGTAAATAACAGTTCCTAGCTGTAATTATATCCACGTGGCTGCTTTCTACTAATTGTCAGGTTCAGAATGACATCGTCCCTGTGTTTCTAATGCACAGCTGTGGATAATCAGGAAAAATATGTTTTGGATACAATTTATTCCTTATGCAGTATCTGCCTTATTGCATCTAAATTAAAAGCAGACACGAGATCACGCTGTGAGCATCGTGGGGCTGTTTTTTGACCTGCCTGCCTCTCCTCCAGGCTGCAACATCACCTGCCCCATGGGCCGTGTCAATGCTGACTGTGACTCCTGCATGTGTGAGGATGCCACTCTGCACGGGAAGGTGTCTCTCGAGGATGGGTCGCCCGCTGACGATGCCCGGGTCTACCTGCAAGCCAAGAAACTCAAGCTGCTGACAATGGCCGATAACAGAGGCATGTTTAGGATCCCAGGGATTTGTCCTGATGGCAAAAACACCCTTAAAATAAAGAAAGCCAAATATGCAACAGCGACTGTCACCGTGCCCGAGAGCACCCGGAGAAACCTGGCGATCCAAGTGCAGCTGCATCGATCAGGTAGCCCCAAAGAGGGGGGATGCAGGAGGCTTTATGCAGTAATCAGAAATAAATTGTGATTTTAGGAGGGGAAGAGTAACGAGATGACCTTTTCCTTGCCCTGCAGGAAAACCCTACATTTTCAGGAGCCCTGAGGACAAAGCCAGGAGAGTGGGACAGAGTGTGTCATTCTGCTGCGATGCCCGCGGGAGCCCAGCCCCTGACCGCTACCTCTGGTAAGGAACTCGAGTTCGATCTGCCAAGTCTTAGCTGTCCCATGGATTCCAGTTTTGCCTCCTTACTCTCTCCATAAGGGCGGGGTTTTAGGTATAAACCAGCTGAATACGCTGAGAACTGATTGCTGCAAGTGATGGCTTCCTCAGGACGTGCAGACCTGGCACAGCAATGTCATCTGCTGAGGGATTCACTGGAAAAACACACCAAATGAAAAGAGTTTAAAAACCTCAGCAGAAAGACTGGCAGCTCTGCCTGCCTACCAGCTGCCCAGCAGCCACATCTCAGTACTGCTAGGGCAAGGAGAATAATTTTTAGGTGATGCCACATAACCAACCTAAAAACAGGGAAACTGAGGCAGAAGGTCTGGCAAAATCCACGTGGCACGATGCAGGATTAGGCCATCGCTCTGCTCTAGCCAGGCAGTCAGACTCTGTCCCCTTAACTGTTCCTGGCAGGTACCACAATGGCTCACTGCTGGATCCCTCCTTGTACAAATATAAAAACAACCTGATTCTGAAGAACCTGAACAGAGAACAGTCAGGAGAGTATTTCTGCAAGGCCAGCAGCGCCGGGGGGTCGGCCAAGTCCCAAGTTGCCAAGCTGGATGTCATAGGTAAGAGAAAATGTGCCTGATGCTCTCCAAGAGGCTGGGGAGGCGTTGGTGTTGCAGGAACCAGAAACTGTGATACATGTGGGAAAGAAAAGTTACAGGAAAAATACTTGAGTTTGTTTCATGCATCAATTTGCAGACAAGCTTGTGTGAGCTGGTCATGAACCAGATGCCCTCTACAAACCGGAGCTCTGGACTGCAGATGACCTGCCAAGCTCAATCTGCTGTTTTCAGTTGGTTTCCCACTGTACTTGCTGCCTAACATAGGAATATTTCTGTTTGTTTAGGGGTCTTTTAAAACTTTAGGACACATTTTATTCTGGCCATAGTCAAAAAGCCGGGCAGCAGCAGCTGGGATGCCCCCTGCAAACAGCTCTTAATCAGGGACCTAAAGCTAAAGCTGCTTCACTGAAACCAGGCCAGATGAATTCAGTTAACCAGAATCCTGCAAAAACCTCACTCTTATTAGGAGAAATGTTTAGCTGAAAGGGTTTCAGACCATATAACAATGTCTGTACAACTATATCATGCTGCTCATTAAGAAATCCTATTCAACAGGAAGAGAAGAGGCACCCTGTGACCCCCAGCCCCAAAGCCACCTCATCCGACTTCCTCACGACTGCTTCCAAAAAGCAACAGACTCCTTCTACTATGATGTGGGCAAGTGCCCGGCAAAGACCTGTGTGGGGAAGCTGGATAAGGGACTCCGGTGTAAGGACAATGTCTCCTACTGCTGTGGGGTATCCAAAATGGAAACCAGGGACATATCCTGCAATGGGTACACGCTCCCCACTAAAGTCATCGTGGAATGTGGCTGCAAAAAATGCACTGAGACCAAAATAATGGTTCGAGGCAGAGCCACAGCAGCGGATAATGGAGAGCCACTGAGGTTTGGCCACATCTACATGGGGAACAAGAGAGTGAGTATGACTGGCTACAAGGGAACCTTCTCCGTCCATGTCCCAGCAGACATGGAGAGACTGGTTTTAACTTTCGTGGATCGGCTGCAGAAGTTTGTGAACACAACAAAAGTTCTGCCCTTCAAGGAAAACGGAGGTGCTGTGTTTCATGACATCAAGCTACTAAGAAAGAAACCCCCCGTTACGCTGGAATCCGCTGAAACCAATGTGATCTCTTTGGGAGAAATGGAAGAAGATGACCCAATTGCTGAATTAGAAATTCCTCCCAACGCATTTTATAGGAAAAATGGAGAGGCCTACAGAGGCAAAGTGAAAGCCAGCGTGACGTTTCTGGACCCAAGAAACATCTCCACGGCCCCTGTGACACAAAGTGACCTGAACTTTGTAGATGAGGAAGGAGATGTATTTCCGCTCCGCACGTATGGCATGTTTTCCGTGGACTTCACTGATGAACGGGGCACTGAGTCCCTTAATGCAGAAGATGTGAAGGTTCATTTGGATGCTGCTCAGGTCAAGATGTCAGAGCACCTGCAAGAGATGAAGCTTTGGTCCCTGAACCCAGAGACAGGGTTGTGGGAGGAAGAAGGGGACTTCAACATTGAGAAAAGCAGACGGCGCAAAAGGGAGGAGAGAACTTTTTTGGTTGGGAACATGGAGATCAAAGAAAGGCGGCTTTTTAACCTGGATGTTCCGGAGAGCAGACGGTGCTACGTCAAAGTCCGAGCCTACAGAAGTGAGAGATTCCTGCAAAGTGAGCAGATCCAAGGGGTTGTGATTTCTATTATAAATATGGAGCCAGAACCAGGGTTCTCCTCCAACCCCAGAGCATGGGGCCGTTTTGACAGTGTAGTCACTGGTCCCAATGGTGCTTGTGTGCCCGCCTTCTGCGACGAGCAAAACCCCGAGGCCTATGGAGCTTATATCTTGGCAAGCATGGGGGGCGAAGAGCTTGAAGCTGTGCCCTCTGCTCCCAAACTCAACCCTGCTGCTATTGGGGTCCCACAGCCATACCTCAACAAGCTCAACTACAGGAGGACAGACCACGAGGACTCCAACACTAAGAAAACAGCATTCAGCATTAACATGGCCAAGCCAAGCCCCAATTCCCCAGAAGAGAACAATGGCCCTATTTATGCCTATGAAAACCTTAGTGAATGTGAGGAAGCTCCTCACAGCGCTGCGCACTTCAGGTTTTACAGGATAGAGGGAGACCGGTACGACTTCAACACCGTTCCCTTCAGTGAAGATGACCTCATGAGCTGGACCGATGACTACCTGGCGTGGTGGCCCAAGCCCATGGAATTCAGGGCCTGCTACATTAAAGTGAAAATAAACGGACCCCAAGAGGTGAACGTAAGATCTCGTAACATGGGTGGGACGCACCCGCGCACCATTGGCAGGCTCTACGGGATCAGGGACGTCCGCAGCACCCGCGACCCCCAGCAGCGGGACGTGTCGGCAGCCTGCGTGGAGTTCAAGTGCAGTGGAATGCTCTTTGACCAAGACCGCGTGGACCGCACGCTCGTCAAGGTGGTGCCACAGGGCAGCTGCCGCCGAGTGAGCGTCAACAGCATGCTCCACGAGTACCTGGTGAACCACCTGCCCATGGCCACCAACAACGACACCAGTGAGTACACCATGCTGGCGCCTCTTGACCCACTGGGACACAACTACGGCATCTACACTGTCACTGACCAAGACCCGAGGATCGCCAAGGAAATCGCCCTGGGCAGGTGTTTCGACGGCTCGTCTGATGGCACCTCCAGAACCATGAAGAGCGATGTGGGCGTTGGGTTGACTTTCACCTGTTCGGAGAGGAGTGCAACGGAGCAAAGCATCTTCCAGTCTCAGAGGAACTCGGGCCAGCAGTCCATGCTGGTTCAGCCAGGGCAGAGCCCCGCGTACCAGAGGCCGCCGGCAAGCCGCCGAAACAACCAAGTCAGGATCCCCATGAGAG